CGAAAAATATTTTATAGCATTTTTTTACACCTTGAGTTACGTTACTAAAGTTTTAGTAAGGATCGCTAATCTTTTCTAGCAATAAATATGTCTATGTCACTCAGGGTGAATGTAGCTTTCTAATGGTGAAAGAATTTTTAAAATCGGCAAAGTAGTTTTTGAGATTATTCATTACACACATGCATACACACAAAAATACAAATCTTTCCTCTTTATAATATTAGTGTAGATTTACGAGGGCGAAACCACGGGACGTAGCTTGTTTGTCAATATTTTTATCCCTATGTGAAATTTGTCAACCAAATCTAAGTTTCTGGTTCACTAATACGACTGCATAAATCATCTACGCACCTAATGTATAAAGCCGATAATCCCACGTCTCCAGATATTTCATGGTGTCCCTAACAAATTGCCTCTCCCGCTTCACGACTTGGTTTTGTTACCTAAATGGAGTCAATGTGAAAGGACGAATGTAGTCATATTTCAGGGAAATGCAGTATAAGTGACTTTTATAAGACCTTCAGTAGAAGGTAGTTCTCAATACATCTATATTCTGTCACTGTGTTATCCGAATACATCATCAACTCTGAACCAATTTTTATTATTCTTTTTGCAATTTATTTTATTATTATTATATCAGCTGTTAATTATTCTTTCTTTCTTTATTATTTATTGTACACAAAAGGTTATTGAAATGTAAAAACAAACATAATAGTGCACAAAGGCGAGCTTATCTCCAATAGAGATTTCTTCCAGCAAACCCAATATGAGAAAAACTGAGAGTTTATTAGTAATTACAGTCATACATGTGTACAAATCAACTTAAATGTTATAGTTAAAAATAAATGAATACAATGTCTTTACAATTGAAAAGACCGATAGGTATAAATAAATAAATAAAAATATATATAAGTAAATACATATAATATATATATATATATATATATATATATATATATATATATATATATATATATATATATATATATATATATGTATTTACCTATATATATAATACACAAACATAATAAGTACGTACATCAGCATTGAGAGAGAGGAAGTGTGTTTCATAATCTAATTGCAGCCACAACAAGAGAGTCTGAATAATTATCCACTGCTGGACATAGATCTTCCTAAGGGGATGTTGCCAGTAGTTGCCATGCTTGGCATGCTGATTGGCAATCGCATTTAGGCTTTGGTGATGTTTTAAAACAGACGCTGCTGCCCATCCTTTGGCTATTAAGTTGCCTTAATCGCCTCTGTCAAATCGGAAAGGAAGAGGTAACCCATTGTATGCCGGGATTACACGCCAAATAGTTCCTCATAATTAGAAACTTTTATAGCAAGTTTTAAGATTGAAAGAAGTTTATTAAAATAATGAAAATTTTATAAAATTTTAAGAATGTACTCGAATTAATATAAAATATAATATTAGGATACGTTTCATGTGAAACTAGTTTTTGAGCAATTGCTGTGTAATTAGTAATAGTAATATATACAACTTTTTTTTTTAATTTTGATTTCATTTTATTTTTAGTACATCAAATATATAAAGGTCTATTTTTTTTTCCTTAACATGCTTCTCATTAGAGGTTCAGAATGTCCACCGTTTACGGCAAACGTGACCGCGGTCACAATGTGTAGAAGGGGTCATTTATACTCAGTAGGGTTTTCTACTGGACCGAAATGACCTGTAGATATACCACTTTGTGAATATTAATATTCTTTAAAAATACATTAATCAATTAAAAAAAAAAAACATTATCCAAAATAATATTGTGTCACATGACGGATACGAGGTAACTATATATTCTGATAAATAAAGACTCAGCTAGCTGTCTTAGACAAGTGAATTACGAATGTATCTGTACATACGTTTTTTCATTTACATGTAAGTATGTGATAGAACGACATAGAAATATCTAATGGTACCTTATTCACTATTCTATACCAGAGGGAGATTTTGTGTAAAAGTCGATTGCTTGGGTACCTCTGTCCCATTCGTGTTTCTACCGTGAAGCAGTTGTGTTTGCATGGCTGTGTGTCGGTTTAAATGGTGGGATATGGCGTGAATTTACTGAGTACAGAGGAATAACACCTGAGTTCTCAAAAATGGCAACGCATGAGGAGTATCATGGGCGAAACAGTATACTCTGTTATGTCCATGGTACTGCTCATGTCTATAGGCGACGGTTATCACTTTCCATCAGGTGGGCCGTCAGCTTGTTTGCCATTCTAAGTTGTATAAAAAAAAAACTCAATTTCAATTATTTATCTGGATAAATAACAGCTTAATTGAACTTATAAATAAAGTTTATTGACTCCACTGTGTCAATATATCCACTATTATATAACCATGTTCTCATGCGTGGCATCGTCAAAGCATCCACAATCCATAGAGCTATGGTATTTGAGCAAATTCGCTTGTTACTTACCTAAGGAGGTTGTTTGTTTGCAGGATTCATCTTTTTATTCTCTGTAAAGTTTCATGAAGAGCGACTGTAAGCTGCCAGTTACAGTTAGACAGTAAGAGTTAGCGAGACAGATCCACGGCATTGGATTCGAAACAAGAAACAAGATTAGGAAAGACATAAATTATGACTGACAGGGAAAATAAGAACCTTACAAATTGTTGAAAATTCGCTGCAATCGTAGTCTATAAAACCTATTTTTTTATTATTAAATATATTTTCTTCTCTATTTTTTTTTACTTTTTATTTTAAGGCGACGTCTAAAAGAAGAACCGTGATGGCCACAAAAAAAATTGAGCAAAACGAGAGCCTCTTGTGTTTTCGTTTCGCCTGATTTTTTTGTGGCCATCGCGTTTATGTCGTCAATTTTGAACGAATAATTACCATTCCTTTTGAAATCTACAGGATTTACTCCCGTATTGTTCTCATATTAATTTTGTTCTATTAAAGCTATATTTTTTCTTTCTATAGCAAAAAAATTGCTTGCGTGTTCCAAATTCAAATATTTTAGTAGTAGTAGTAGTAAATTAATAATTTATCCATATTAGGAAAGGCAATGGAATTATGCCATACAGCCTGATCTTCAGTTGAAAACAAATATTTTCAAAATTGCGTTTATTTATTATTGCGTTATCCATGTAATGTCTCGTCTGTCATTTGTGTGTACATATATTCATCTATTTTATTTTTTATAACGTATACTCATTGAGAAAAATCTTCCCAAAATTGTCCGGAACGGATTTATAGAGGTGAATTTGCTTATATAGCCAGTATAGTAAAATAAAGAAAATATAGGTGTAATAAAAAACCATGAAAGATTGTGTTTGTTTAATAAATTCTTGGGTGTAGCTTAGGAACTACTCTTATACAGCCGAGTCAGTATTTTTTATCTGTGTAAATAAGACTGAATTGCTTTCCAGAGATTTTTTCCGTAGCTACTCAGAACATTCAGGTAATAAATGAAGCTGTAATTTATTCAACAGGCTGATTTTGTAAGGAATTGTGTTGTATTCGAAATAGAAAGTTCGAAATTAGGTTCGTGGAATTATTTCATGTTATTACAGATTATTGAAGTAAAGCTATTCAACTTGGATATCATGTCATTCGTTATTGTGTGTTCCAAAATTAATTTTTAACGGTCGATCACAAAAAAAAAAGAAATATAATACATCAATTCATACATATTTCCTAGTAAATACTCCATTTAATAACATCATACAACGAAATATAGCAAATGTTGAAATTATATGTCATTTTTAAAAAATATTAAACATGTAATATAGGGCCGATTTTGAGGTGTAAATTTTTTTGACCCATATAATTTAAAAAGTACTCTGAGAATTAACATTAAAAAGTTTACACTTTAAGAAGTGATTTTTTTAATGTACGCCCATAGACAATTTAATAGTTTGTTATTATCTTAATACTTGTTATATGGCAACACTGTTTAATCTAGCAATGTAACATTCGATATAAGCAACAGAACTTTGTTCAAAACCCATATTTTTTAGACAAAATTTTCACAAATTATTTTCCATTTTCATATGAAAAAATGAAAATTATGTAAATGTTAATTTCATTAAATGAAATATACTTTGTATTGTATCTCTTCTGTGATTAATCTAAAAGTTATAACTCTTGTTAGGTGCTCAACAAGCATGGTACAAAGTTTAAATTGTTTGTCGTCTCCAGACGATACGTGGAGGCGTAGGTGGCCTTATTGAATACCGTAGCTGCAAACTTGGACTGTTTCAAACTACATATTACACTTGACGACTCGAGGTCAGATAAGACGCTGCATAAACCGCATAAATATCACCTAATTTGAACCCTAATGTCCTCATATGTTTTAATAAACCACGTTAAGTGGCTGCTGGTAAAATTTATAAGCCAAAATTACATAGTAGAGTAGTCGATGTGTGGGCGGTTTATCAAAAGTTACGTGCCGATTGCGTTTCTAATTTCTTTATGAAAAAAAAAAAACAATTTCTCTTTATGTATAATATTTTTAGAAGACTTTCACCTACTAATAAAAATCTACTAAGCTGTGGTAATGTCTGTCAAAAAGATTTCTAATGTGCCTGTGTTTTTTTTTAATATATTACGTAATTTTTTAATTTTTTTTCTACGATCGTAGACGTTTATATCCGTGTCGGTACTATTTTGATTTTGTGACGATTGAAAATGCTGTTGTGCTTTGCAGAGCAAAAAACTGTTCTATATCAAATCCATATGTATATAACACTATACAATATTTATAATGTGGAAAAAATATATAAAACATCCCGTAGTTTATGGATGCATGTAATTACGATTGAAGTAGATTGTTGCGGAGCAATTTATACTTGTCAAGTAATTTGTCTAAATGTTACATTATAAAAATAAATAACAAATATTGATTTTGATAATGAATTCTATGTGCAAATTTTTTTTAGTGGTCAATTCAGAATATGGTCCAATTTTGTACTTAATACCTTTCAAATCCACCTTTTTCTAATAATATCAACACATTACGTCATAATCACCTACCTCTCCCAACTGAGACGTCGCGGAGCATCAACAGCGACATCTTCTGGGGTGCCACGAACTCCCTGCGTTAATAGCCTGGCCAACCTTGAGCTAGTACTTGAGCTGCCCGTACTGGACACTGATCCTCGAGGTGTCGGTACTCTGAAACAAATACATAACATCATGGTATATCGAAAACTTCTTTAATGCTGCAGTAGACATATTGGTTGACATATTGATTTTTGAGTGGTGACCCTGTATGAGCAAACGCAATGTAAGACGACCCCCAACTTGATGGAGTGACGACGTAAAATACATTGCAGGGAGTTTGGATGCGGGTGGCTCACGACCGTACCTTATGGCAGTCTATGAGGGAGGCCTATGTTCAACGGTGGACAGACAACGACTGATATGAAGATGGTACCTCAGATAATACGTAACTATACAACAAAGGTCTAAACAAACGATGCTCTGCACGTATAAAATATTAATTAACCACGCACGTCTTGCGGATTATCAAGATACCCCGTATTATTAAAGTTTCCACTATCTACCCTTTCATCTCCTGGATAGTTCGATAAATCTAGATTACGTTGTTTAAGGCCGGAAAAAGCTACCATCATCCTCCGGGAATAAGGCTGCCTGTATCTAACAGATTGACTTAACACTAAATATTTTATACTATCTTTTTCCCGCAACTTTATTCGTGTGACCGAAATATCTCCATTGATCGGGTTAAAAAGGAGCCTATAATTTTTTCTATGCTTTTAAATTTGGTTTATATCCTGTAATGTTGGTGCAATACAATGTTAAATATATATATATATATATATATATATATATATATATATATATATATATATATATATATATATATAATTATTCCTCTCCATCCAAAGGTTATCTGGAAGAGATCGCTTTTAGCGATAAGGTCTTATATTTATAATAAGTTTACTTGGAGGAAAGGTTTTGGAGGAAACAATAAAGAGTATCTATCTATCTATATGTAGTACACAATATAGTATGATAACAGTAACTGATTAAGTCATTAAGGCGCTAACAGGTAATAACTAAAAGCAAAGCCCTTTCCATAGGCCACTAAATAACTTGAAACGCATAGTTTAGTAATAAATTTGCATATGGGCCAACGTGTAGTACCAGGTTGTTTCAGTCCATAAGTCTTCGTTGGTAGTCGAATCTCTGCCGGTGATTTTTAATACCCCCCTCTCGGAGGGAAAGGGATTATCAGTAATGGAGACTAAAAATCTCATTGCTAGCATTTACCCAACCAGTTCGACCTCCTCGCGGTTCCCCCTGGAAACTATCATGGTTAATTCCTGATGAATTCATCATGATGGGCTAATTGGCTTGTTTTCATTCTTATCGATCACCCTTCACTGGTGCTGCGCCAGCGTATCCCGTTAGCGCAGGCGGGGTTACCATTCCATTTTCATTCACCAAAAAAACAAAAATACCCCCTTCTCCACCGTTACCATGGGCCCCATTACATTACATGATTACAAAAAAAAATCAATCAGTTGTGAATTGGCCATGTGAATACGTAAAAATAATTAGACCAATTTGAGAAACTCTGTTTAAGAATTTAACCAAAACAAATATCAATCTTGTAAGACGGTGCCCGAGGAGTTATTCGGAACCCCTTAAGGTAAACGGTTGTGTCAATCAATTATAGAAGTCATCACAATCAACGAACTAAAGCTCACATCTCTCAACCTTTCAAGATTGAATTTAATGTTTGTTTAGGTTGCCTTCCGATTATCTAGTGCTTGGAAAACTTTACGTCGAATGTTTTTTATCGACATTTTACATTAAAATTATATTAATAGCAATTTTTATTTATTTTTTTTAAGTTTTTTTTTATACAACTGTGGCGGCAAACAAGCATATATAATAAGCATATGGATGCTTTATATATATGCTTATTATATTATCCATAGGCTACGGAGTTACCGTAGCTTATAGATGCCTGTAACATCAAGGATGTCGATATCATTTTTAAACTTTGTTCACACTATTTTCAATGGATTATTAAAACAGTATTATTATATATTATTTAATGAAAATATAAACATATTTTTTTTATTATTAATTACAAACAGTTTTCTTAATACAAAATATCAGCCTTTTTTGAAAATCAGTTTATTAAATAATCAATATATATTTTCACTGTTCGTAATTTCAAATTTAACCGTTTTTTTTTTAATAATTTCTAAATACGGACCAATAAAATCCGAAAAACAGGAACACTTCTTTATTATTTTATGGATTCTACACGAAATAATATCCGTAAACCATGTTATAAACATCATCATCCATATAACCAGAGCCCATTCATAATTTCCCATTTGCCTAAAATATCATCTGAAGCAAATCATATAAGTACCTACTATATCGACCATTCAATTATTTGCACGGAAATTATTTTTCTTTTGCATTCGTAAATACTTCAACACGAAGGATGAATGGCTAACTTGCGGTGAAATAAAAATACGAGCTGAGTGAATATGTGACTAGGGACCTTGTAAATCCTTTTTTACATTTTTATTTCTTTTACTCCTTTGAGATTCAAAATATTTAGATATTATTCTTTAGAAAAAACTAAATTCTGAAGTGTCATTCATACAGTCCGTAACTGAGAGAAGCAGAGAAGGAATTCTTACTGACAGCAACTAGCAGCTCCGTTGCTAGTAATTTACCTTCTCAAATTGACCTTCACTCGACGGCTCTTAATGGGTGATAATGGAAAACTCCATTTGCGCTATCGGTATATGCTGGCGGGGCATCAATGCGGGATGATATGTGAGCATGAAAGCAGGTCAGTTACCCCATTGTGACGCATTCAACAAGAATTAATCACGATAATTTCTAGAGGGAACCACGTGGAAGTCGACCTGATAGGGTATTTTGCTAGCAATGGAGATTAACGTCCCCATTACTAACAATCTCTCAATCTCCATAATTATGGTTTGCTTCGGAAAATTCATGATGAATTCCTCACGATGGCGTAATCACTCTTGCCGAGATGATAAATGAGGGTGAGAGGAAGTCAGGTCAATACACACTAGTACCCCACCAGGATATACCAATGACGCTGGTGGAGTTATCATTCCATTATCAACTACTAAAAATAGTAAACGGTAGATCATAACAAAAAAGACCTTTATTTTTTCCTAAACATTTTTTCGGAATAAATAGAGATTAATGGAAGAAAAAATTTATTACGTCGACCCAAGTATGAAATAAAGGCAGGAAAGAGAATGATGATGATGATGAAATATTCCGTTATGAGGTCAATATTACCATGTGCTAAGTGGTATATTATACTTGAACAGAACAATTTTTGCCAGATGTCGGAACGCTCCATTATTCAAAAGCCTCTGTTGAGAATCTGAATATTTCCGTAAATTAAAGGGGTTTTTGTTTCCATCGTTTGTACTCGTATATAATACGTACCGAGATTCTATATAGATTGTAAGGATTCTTAAACTCATATTGCGTATCGTAATTTATTTTCTTTAATTATTTTAAAGGTATTATTCAAAAGTCTCATGAGAATAATTGATCATAGGACGTAAACGAAAAAATCTTGTGAAAATATTTTTTGTTTTTCTATTTTTTCTTCTGCATAGCCATATAGTTTTATATATATATATATATATATATATATATATATATATATATATATATATATATATATATTACGTATTGCCAATATGTTACTAGTATATACTCAATTCTTAGAAAACAACTTTCTAGACAGTTCACCTTTCCTATTTTTTCTCGTCATTTTAGTACCTTTTTTTTAGATAACTTACCAAGTTTCGCCGAATTCGAAAACATTTTATACATAAAGGTTTAGAAGGATAAGGGTCAGATATACTTAATGTAAAAGTAAAATTATGGAATAATCCAAGTGTTTTTATTATTACTATCAACCTATCAAAATTTCGTAAAATATCAATAAATAAAATACCATAAACACAATACTTACATTTATGGTTGTATTTACATATTATTCTACTATTATTCCTGTGTTGGATTCGGAGTTCCGACATGAATTTTATGAGATACTTGCGTATTCCATCACAGACTTAAATGGAGATAGACTCCGCAAGTTTCTCCATCTATATGAAAAGTAAGTATGCCATATTTTTCCGACTTAGGTTCTACGAATACGCCAACATCTATTTTTAAAAGCACTTTCCGCACTGAACACTTCCGTAAATATTAGTAAATATTTTTTATTATTTCCTCTTCAATAATAAAGTAAAAGTTTTATCAGAAATAAAAATTACAAGAAATACATCACAAAGTAAAAACGTCCTTATTGCCAAAAGCTTCAATGCAAGCTGCTTGGCAGTAGATATGACGAATGGGATAAGAACTTTTTTTTTTTTTTTTTTTTTTTTTTTTTTGATGGGTGAAAATGGTATGTTAACCCTGCCTGTGCTAATGGGATATGCTGGCGGAGCACCAGTGAAGGGTGATAGATGAGAATGAAAACAGGCCAGTTAGCCTATCATGATGAATTCATCAGGAGTTGACCATGATAGTTTCCAGGGAAAACCGCGAGGAGATCAACCTGGTTGGTTATATTGCTAGCAATGGGATTCTCAGTCTCCATTACTAACAATCCTATTCCCCCAACTTGCCCAAGTACATGATTTTATATTAAGTCTTGGTTTTAGCTTTTACCAGCCGGCCTCATTGTTTCTAATCTAAGGGAATATAGGGTATAACGGAAAAGAACAATAAAAAAACCAGAAAACTTTCTCCGAGGGTTATGAAAAATGAACACAATTTTCGGCCCCTTCATACTAAATAGATCACGTAACCATGCGATTTGTTTCTACAAGAGAATGACAGAGAAAATTTAAATTCGACTGTATTTTTTTTTTGCGAATAAGTCACGAAATATTGTTGCTAATTCTGAACCGATTACGATGATGCCTTTTTAATTAAAATATATTCCTTCTGTATTGGTACAACACAAATTTTGTTAAGATTAAAATCTACTTTTTTCGTGGAACCAAAATTAGAAATGTCTGCTACTGTTTTTATATTAATTTCTCTTCGCAATTGAATGCAAAATACGAAAATATATAATTTACTCTGCAAAAGGAGAAAGTAACCGCCCAAGG